CCAACAACCGCCCTAAACATCCCCTTCACCCTCTCCATCCTCTCCCTCTGCCTAACCTTCAACCACCCCTCCACCGTGACCAACTTCTCCTCAACAACAACAGGAACCTCCTAAGTCCCCATCGCAACCCCCAGTTCCAACAGCAGCTTCACAAACTTAGTATGCAGCTCCAGAAAAAAGTCCGGCATCCCCACCAGCTCCGCCAACCCCCTCTGCTTCAACGCCACCCCTCCCCCCGCCCCCGCAAACCCATTGCCCATACGTCTCGACAAACCCCCCATGCCCCCCGTTAGAAAACTACTCCTCTCATTATTATTACCCTGTTGCTGCTGCTGCTGTGGTGGTGGTTCGCCCATGGCAAAACTCCCATACCCCGGGCCAGGCATTATCGGACTCGAGGCGTTGCTACCGCCCGTCGATTCGGCAAGGGAGCGCTCGGCTTCCGCTTCGGCGAGGGCTTGGATCCAGGTTGCCATGTCCCTAAAGGCTGAGGCGACATACCCAAAAGTTTTCATGGCGAGGCGTTCGCGGTGGGTCGACAAGGCTAAAAAGGCGTACACCCGCTTATGGCCGCGGGCGTGCACATCTGGGATGCGGAAAATGTAGGCCGTGGTGTAACCCGCTGCCGGGTCGCCAAAGAAGATGGGGCCGCCTGATACGGCGTTGCCTACGCTGTGGGTAGTCACAAAGGCGGGTGTGATGGGTGAGGCGCAAGGGGTGGACATGGCTGACGGGTTGGTAGGTGAGGTTTGTGGCGCTCTAGGTAGAGTTTCTAGCGACAATGTCCGCAGACAAGAAGCCCGGACGATGGAAAAGGATGAGGGGGCCAGGGGTTCGTGGGTGGAGATGTACTCTAGGTAGTGAGTGTGTGAGTTCATGTTAGCCACCGAGCTGCTTTCGCTCGAGCGGGAGGCGACCGACGCTGCGGTGGGCGTGCGGCGGTGGGTTGGTCGGAGTGTTGGGTTGGAGGACTCATCCTCGGATGGGGTAGAAGAAGAAGACTGTGAAGTTGGTGGTGAGGTGGTGTTGTACACTCTTGCGCAAGGCGCCTTGGAGCGCAAAGTAGGACCGCGTTCGGGTCGGGAGTCCGCCCCGACGCCGCTGCTTCCGGGTTGAAGTTTTGGTAGAGTCAAGGCGCAGTTGTCACACGGCCCGGCTCGGCGGGTCACATAATCATCATATGTCTTGCGGAAGGACGAGTCTTGCCGTGGTTTGGACTGCTGCTGCTGCTGTTGCTGTTGCTGTTGCTGTTGCTGTTTTGAGTTGGGTGGTGCTCCTTCTGGTGGTAGCTGTGGGCTCTGTGGTGGTGTTTCCATCGCCGAACCGCCGAGACCGCCAGATGAAGATGATGCTGCTACCTGCGCGGCACGTCGTAGGGCGGCCCTGTGGGTTTGAGCCTCTTGTTCGGTTGCTGGAAGTGACGAGCTGCGCTGGGCGTCTGCAAAGTTCATTCGTCGAAGCGCCTCCGTGATAGCGGTGGTGGCTTGCGTTGACTCTCCTCCCGGCATCGGAACGCCGGAGCGCGGCCGGTCGGGGCCTGACCCGGGACGGTCATGCAGCTCATCGTCATAGCATACGTTGCAGGGGACTGGCAGCCCCTCGGTGACCATCAGGGGCGTGGGCCCGTGAAGATCACAGTAGTGGGCTAGACACAGCTGTAGGTGAGGAATTAGCATCGTGTCGTGATGAGGGCAGGCATGGCATGTGAAAAGGGCAGAGATGGATGAGAAAGAAGGAAGAGCATGGTGGCGTCGGGGGAGAAAGAAGGGAGGCGCATTTGTCAAAGAGACTCGGTTTCGCTGCTGATTGAGCCGAACGCGTTGGGATGGGACGCTTATGGGCTCGGTCTAATCCCATTGAATGAAACACCAGCACGTGGAGGAGTGGCCCAATGCCGATATTTGCTGCGCGGTGGCTCCAAAGCTGCCGGACTGCTGGGACTCTGGTCGGGAAGGCTGAGAGGCGTGGGGGTGCACAGCAGGAGACAGTCGAGAGAAGTCGTCCAAAGTGAGGCGGTGAACAGTTGTTGGGTTGCATTTGGAAGATGCGACAAGGGCAAACGGCAAGCACAGCATCAGGCATCGAATGACCATGCAGCCAGCCATGCATAGGGGTATGGGGGGGGGGGGGAGGGAGAAGGAAGATTATGATTATGGGTGATTCTTGCGAGCGACGAGCAACTTACTATCGACGTCATGACTGGGTGCTGAGAGTGGTAGGTAGCTTATCGCAAAAATCTCAAAAATATCATGCTGCTGCTGTTGTCGCCAACGAGATAGATGAAGGTGGTTTGCGACACGGGGCGCGCGGGTGGAAGGTGGGTTGTGGCGACAAGGCTGGCAGGTGGTTCGACTGAGGAAGTGTATGTTGTTGTTTTCGTTTTCTGTTCGCTGTTCGTGGCGGGGTGCTGGACCCTGTAACGATCGTCTTGCTCTCAGAATCAGAGGGCTGGTTGAGATGGTGAAATGATTGAATATCTCGGGGGGTCGGGGCAAGAGGTGATCAACCTCGGAGTGAAATATCGCGAGCCATGGCAGCTGTGGGATTTGCCGGGGGAGGGGTGGAGGGGGGAGTGCGGCGCCAACGATTCGTGATAATGATGATGATGATGATGATGATGATGCTGATGCTGATCAAGACCCCTGTAAGGTACTTTTGGAGGGTTGAGGTACTTTGGGGGAAAAGCGACCCTAGCGTATTCGATAAGGGTAAGGTTAAGGTAAGGGTAAGGTAAGGTGGTAAGGGCAGCGATAAGAAAAAGCGTTGGCTAGGTGGGCAGCAACACAGCGCCGGTGGTTTTCTGGGATGTAGTAGAGGCCAATTGATCCGCCAGTGGTCGAGATCTTGGGGAAAAAAAAGAACAAAAATTAGGTGATGCAGGGCTGATGGGATCCCTCTTATTCAATCCTTCTGGAAGCGCGGCGGTTGTGCCATAGTGGAGTTGCTCTCAAATGCTACGCCGAATTGGGGGGGGACCCCCCGGTTCTTCCGACCGGCACCAGGAACCGTGGTCCTTGGAAATTCACAGCCGGGAGATGTTCGAGGCCTTGTCCACCATCTTGGCAGGTCCTTCCTACAAGAACAACACGAGAATGAAATTATATGTGATACCTACCACGTCTTGTCTCTCTCTCTCTCTCTCTCTGTTGCCCCCCCCCCCTCTCTCTCTCTCTCTCTCTAGCTGCTTCTCCTCTCCTCTAAGAAAAACAAAATGTCACCATCGGCCAATTGACCGGCCGCATTAGCTTGGTGTCGACAGTGACAGTGACAGAACGATCCTGCCTGCACCCCGCTCTCTTCAAACTTGTCACTCACTCATCCAGTGCATATGCAACTGCTTCCCAAAATATCCTCCCCTCTCACAAAACCATCGGATGTCTTTTCTGTCTCTCCAGGCGAGAGCCCCAGCTGGGCTAGTGAGACGTTCATCTCCGTGTCTTAGTCACTAATACACCGGTCTGTGACCTGATTGCCGGGTTTCCACGTGGGAGAAATCCATCTGGACTGCTGCCCACCCCCCCCTCCCGGCTCCACGGGTTGATCAGGCTGATCTTGGTCTGCAAATCGTCAGCGTCTTATTTGTAACCTCTACGGGACACCATTCATCCGGGCCTCTGTTTTGGGTTGAACAGCATCGACAAAGTCCCTCGTGATTTTTGTCACCAGGTTAGTTCTCTGCCGGTTGAATTGCATCTCTCACCTACATATGTCGCACAGTAGCACCGTTACAAGCGACCGTTGACACTTGCACTCTTGCCGCCGTCGCCGCCGTCGCCGCCTCTTGGCCCTGAGAAAGTCCCCACAGTTCTACTCTCACCAAGTTGCGCCGATACTCACACCTCCCCCTTTAAGAACAAGTTTCAAGTCCCTTACCCATGTCTAGCACGCGGCTCTCCTTTTCTTTCGTTTCTAATTCGGACATTCCGAATTGATGCCCAAGAAGAATTCCGCCCGAAACAACGGGAAACAGTTTCTTGACACGAACCGAAGGGGGGGAAGAGTCCACGAAACAGTCGAAACAATTTCAATCCTCGCCAAACATCCTGCTCATGCAGATGAGAACATGGGGGGAGAGGGGCAGGGAAACGATTTCATCACCTCGATTTCATCACCTTGATTTCATCATCCCGCTCACACAACGCGGCTCGCTCGCACTCGCTTATTTGTCTACTTCAGAACATACCTCTCTCTCTCCCTTGCGGTTACCATTTTTGATCTCTCTCAATCCCGTTTAGGACACACACACACACACACACACACACACACATACAAACCACGCTTAGGAAAATCTTGGTGGTGTGTGTGGGAGGAGGACACCACCACCAAAACACCCAACGTATCAAGAACCAAAAAAAAAAAAAGAAAAAAAAAAAAAAAAAAAAAAGGAGAGATATTTAAGCATCTTTTTAGCCTCTGCGCTTCTCCGGTCCGAAACCCACTTCTTCCCGTTGTCTGGGAATTGACCTACCTTCCATCACACCGAGAAAAAAAAATAACCT